AGGGTGAGTGGTGAGGGTGAGTGGTGAGGGTTAGTGGTGAGGGTGAGTGGTGAGTGGTCAGTGGTGAGGGGTCAGGGTTAGTGGTGAGGGTGAGTGGTGAGGGGTGAGTGGTGAGTGGTGAGGGTGAGTGGTGAGTGGTGACGGTGAGTGGTGAGGGAGAGTGGTGAGGGAGAGGGGTGAGGGTGAGTGTTGAGGGTGAGTGGTGAGTGGTCAGTGGTGACGGGTCAGGGTTAGTGGTGAGGGTGAATGGTGAGGGGTGAGTGGTGAGTGGTGAGGGTGAGTGGTGAGGGTGAGTGGTGAATGGTGACGGTGAGTGGTGAGGGAGAGTGGTGAGGGAGAGGGGTGAGGGTGAGTGTTGAGGGTGAATGGTGAGGGTGAGTGGTGAGGTTAAGTGCTGAGGGTGAGTGGGGAGGGTGAGTGCTGAGGGTGTGGTGAGAGTGAGTGGTGAGAGTGAGTGGTGAGGGTGAGTGGTGAGGGTGAGTGCTGGGTGGTGAGGGTGAGTGGTGAGGTTGAGTGGTGAGGGTTAGTGGAGAGTGGTGAGTGGTGATTGGTCAGTGGTGATTGGTCAGGATGAATGATGAGTAGTGAGGGTCAGGTTGAGTGGTGAGGTTGAGTGGTGAGGGTGAGTGGTGGTTGTGACGGTGAGTGGTGAGTGGTGAGGGTGAGTGGTGAGGGTGAGTGGTGAGGCTGAATGGTGAGGGTGAATGTTGAGAGTGAGTGGTGAGTGGTGAGGGAGAGTGGTGAGGGTGAGTGGTGATGGTGAGGGGTGAGTGGTGAGGGTCAGTGGTGAGGGTGAGTGGTGAGGGTGAGGGGTGAGTGGTGAGGGGTGAGTGGTGAGGGTGAGTGATGACGAAGAGTGGTGAGGTTGAGTGGTCAGTAGTAAGGGTGAGTGGTGATGGTGAGGGTTAGTGGTGAGGGTGAGTGGTGAGTGGTCAGTGGTGAGGGGTCAGGGTTAGTGGTGTGGGTGAGTTGTGATGGTGAGGGGTGAGTGGTGAGTGGTGAGGGTGAGTGGTGAGTGGTGACGGTGAGTGGTGAGGGAGAGTGGTGAGGGAGAGGGGTGAGGGTGAGTGTTGAGGGTGAGTGGTGAGTGGTGAGGGTGAGTGGTGATGGTGAGGGGTGAGTGGTGACGAAAAGTGGTGACGTTGAGTGGTGAGTAGTAAGGGTGAGTCGTGAGGGTGAGGGTTAGTGGTGAGGGTGAGTGGTGAGAGTTAGTGGTGAGGGTGAGTGGTTAGGGTTTATGGTGATGGTGAGTGGTGAGGATGAGTGGTGAGGGTCAGTGGTGAGGGTGAGTAGTGAATGGTGAGTGGTGAGGGTAGGTGGTGATGGTGAGTAATGAGGGTGAGTGGTTAGGGGTGAGTTGTGCGGATGAGTGGTGAGGGTGAGTGGTGAGGGGCAGTGGTGAAGGTGAGTAGTGAAGGTGAGTAGTAAGTCGTGAGGATGAGTGGTGAGTGGTGAGGGTGATTAGTGAGTAGTGAGGGTGAGTGGTGAGGGTGATTAGTGTGTAGTGAGGGTGAGTGGAGAGGGAGAGAGTGAGTGGTGAGCGTGAGTGGTGAGGGTGAGTGGTGGTGGTGAGGGTGAGTGGTAAGCGTGAGTGGTGAGGCAGAGGGTGAGTGGTCAGGGTGAGTGGTGAGTGGTGAGGCTGAATGGTCAGGGTGAATGGTGAGAGTGGTGAGTGGTGAGGCTGAATGGTCAGGGTGAATGGTGAGAGTGAGTGGTGAGGGTTAGTGGTGAGAGTGAGTGGTGAGGGTGTGTGGTGATTGATGAGTGGTGAGGGTGAGTGGTGAGGGTGAGTGGTGAGGGTGAGGGAGATTCGTGAGGGAGATTGGTGAGTGGTGAGTTGTGATGGTGAATGGTGAGGGTGAGTAGTGAGTGGGAGTGGTGACGATGAGTGGTGAGGGTGAGTTGTGAGTGGTGAGTGGTGAAAGGCATTGTCAAAGCCCACAGGGCTTTGACAATACCTTAGTATCTGTGTATATATGTAAGGTTAGTAAGAAATATATTTTTCACCCGGGCAACGCTGGGTACTTCTGCTAGTATTATATAATTTTTACGACGTAGAATTGTAATGTATTACTTGCTGTTAGTAACTCAGCTTATTGTAGAGTATAGTAAGTATACTGATGGTGCTATGCAGTTTATACTTTAGTTTTTTTTTATGTAGTTTATACTTTAGTTTTCTACGTGATTGTTTATTAACTGCAGCTACATACTATTAACATTCCTTTCCTTTGTTAATGCTACTCCCTGCACCCTCCCTTGGTGCTGCTGATCCTGCATAATGCATGGGCATAATATGACTTTGAAACCCCCCCGCCCACCTCCTACGCATTTCCCATGAATATGCTAAATTCCTCTTGATATGCACATTCTTTTTGTTAAGGCGCTCTTCCACCTCCAACCCAGCTTATATATAAGCTCCTAGCTTGGCAGTGTCTCATTCTTCACCTGAAGACGGCTGCTTGCGTTGTAGCCGAAACGTCGTGAGAATTATTTTATTATGTTTTATTTTTATTATTTTATTACTTCCCTTCTACGTGACTTTACCGAAAGAACCAAGAAGATGAATCCCTGCAGTCACGAAAGCTTTAAATCGAAATCTAAAAACACTCTTGATTTGAGGCTTTTGTGACTGCAGGAATCCATACCCTTTGGTTCTTTCGGTAAAGTCACGTAGGTAGAAAAATAAAACAAAAAATAATATATCACGATGTTTCGATCGCAACACAAGCGGTTGTCCTCAGGCGGAAAAAATAAACCAGCAGTGGAACTGCTGAACCAGCGAGAGTGCTGCTCCAACAAACTGCTCACCACTTCACTCACCACTTTTACTGGTAGGAACGAAGTGGATCAGCCTACAATAGATTATATCGTCCGTCCGTCCGTCCGACCGTGTAGCAACATCGCCCCCTACTGCAAACACTTGGCATGACCCTACAAAAACCTTTAGACTCAGTGACGTTTTCCTGGCTAAACAAGTGTAACATTCCCTTATAATTCCCTCAAATAACTTTTAATTAAAACATTTAAATTAATGAGGCTTTCCTGGCTAAACAAGTGTAACATTCCCTTATAATTCCCTGAGATAGCTTTTAATTAAAACTTTTAAATTCAAAATTTACTCACAGCGCCCTAAAGCCACCAGCTAGGCCTAAAGCCTCGAACTACGCCTATCACTCTCCCTTCGTATCGTACCCCCGCGTGTGTGCAAGGGAGTTAATGTTTAACAATGTTACATTCCCTGATGCTTTTAAATAGAAACATTTAAATTTAAAGCTTTTACATAAATAATAAAAACATTTAATTTTAAAATTAACTCACGGCGGCCTAAAGCCTATAGCTAGGCCTAAAGCCTAGAACTAGGCCTCAACCTCTCCCTTCGTATCGTACCCCCGCGTGTGTGAAAGGGAGTTAATGTTTTACAATGTTACATTCCCCGATGTTTTTAAATAGAAACATTTACATTTAAAGCTTTTACATAAATAATTAAAACATTTAAATTACAAATTAACTCACAGCGGCCTAACGCCTACAGCTAGGCCTAAAGCCTAGAAATAGGCCTCAGACTCTCCCTTCGTATCGTCCGATTCGGTGTAGCAACATCGCCCCCTACTGCAAACACTTGGCAGGACTCTACAAAAACCTTTAGACTCAGTGGGGCTTTCCTGGCTAAATAAGTGTAATAATACATTATGTTTATATTCTTTGGTTATTCGTTCCTACCAGCCCACCCCGCAGGGTCCTGTTTCTGTCTCTCTCGGTCCATGACGTCATCACGACAACTTTAAGTCATCAGCGCGAGACGGCAGGGGGAAGTGTACCCAGATAGTGACGTCATGTCATCCTCCCCGCCATGTTTCCACGTGACGTCACGAGGACCCAGGAGTTGCAGCTCTGCTCGCCACGCAGAGGTTCCGAGTTGAGAAGTACACATCGAGGTGGTGGTTCCTTTTGTTTACCCAGGTACAGCCTCACTTCTTTCACTAGTAGAGAGGTTCAATTGAGTAGCAGCACGAATGGAATCAGTGCCCAGGTTGGAACATTACAACTCAGCGCCTAGCCATGCAGGGCTTGCCTCCTGTCCCTCGCCTGATTGCATTTGCTTTAATTATCTTTTTAAGTTTAATTTGTCTTCACCTGCCTCAATGCTTTACCTCACTAAATTTCAATATTTTAGTTCAGGAGCGTCCTGTCTACTTGGTTTTGCAGTCGCTCGGGGCTGGGGTGATGCTTTGCGTGTATTCTCGATCAAGTATTCTGCAATTATTTTTCAGCATTGGAATATTTGGACGATACCAGTCCAGAAGTGTATTGCAGAATTCGACATTAAAGCATTCTGCAATTACATTCATACATTTCGATTTAAAGCTTCCGTGACTGCAGGGGATTCATTTTCTTGGTTCTTTCGGTAAAGTCACATAGAAGGAAAATAATAAAATAATATAGCAGTGTGGTATACAGTTGGGTGGGTAGAATAATACATAGTGTAATATTACAATGTATAGTCTATAATCATATTAGTTGCTGCAGGCACCATATAATTAACATTCCTTCCATTTATTAATTCTAACCTTACTCCCTCCCTTTCATACTGCTAATCCTGCATAATGCATGGGCATAATGACTTTAAACCCCTCGCCAAACCTCCTACGCATTTCACAAGTAGTATTAATCGCATATCTGCATTTCCCATAAATATGCCTAATTCCCATTGATATGCAAATTATTTTGTCAAGATGCTCTTCGCCCCTCCATCCCAGCATAAATAGTCGCTCCAAGCCTGGGGCGTGCCATTCAGACTCTGCCTTCTCGACAGACCTGTTCTCCACCTGAAGACGGCTGCTTACATTGTGGCCAAAACGTCGTGAGAATTATTTTATTGTTTTATTTTTATTATTTTATTATTTTCCTTCTACGTGACTTTACCGAAAGAACCAAGAAGATACACTCATACACTTGTAATAAAAGACTCAGACGCTTCTCTCTGACTCCGTGTCCTTTATTTGGGTTCTTGTCTTTTCCCTCACGGCACTCTCTTAGAGACACTCTACTTGTAGCCCCTGGCTGCTATCGCTATTGTAGCCTCCTTCCTCTCCTTGCAGACTCGCTGCAGACCCCCGCTGCCAACTCCATATGCAGACTCCCGCTGCCAACTCCGTATGCAGACTCCCGCTGCCAACTCCGTATGCAGACCCGCTGCCAACTGCAGCCTCCTCGCTGCTTCGGGTCGGTCACCGCTGGCCGACAGTGCCGATCCTCGCTCCCCGTGTCCGTGGCGATCTCACCACTCTCCGCTCTCGCCCTACGTGGCCTCACTCGTTCCTGGTCTCCCGTCACTCCCCCTCCTCTTCCGGTTTCTCTCCCTCTATAGACCTGACCCCTCTCCCCCACGTGACCTAACTCCTCCCCTCATGACGTCACTTCCGGAAGGTCGTTTACGCCCGCATTACATCACCCTCCCCCGTAGAGAAAATCCAGCCGACCTCGGCTGAACTACAACTTAACAAGCAATGCGGGTGTAAAGGACCAATACGTTAAAAGACACGAAGCATGCAACAACAATATAACAAGAACACAACACAAGTTAACGAAATGTAAGGGATTTCGAGCGAGTACGGGTAGCTGGGCCGTCCCGGACGGTCGGCAGCCCACCCGCCGAGCGGGAACGTGGCAGGGTTTTAAGGGCGACAGGAGCAAGTTCGTCCATCGCCATTGGAGGCCTGCCACCGTCCCGGTCCCGTTCAGAGGCGTCCCGTAGTCGCGTCCGTGGCGGGGTAAGAAGGGCTGCAGGTCCCGTAGATTCCGCTGCCCCGGTCGGCATCCCGCGAGCGGAACGTCCTCCCTCCTGCGGCGTCACGGCCGGCTTGTCTGTAAGGGGTACGACAGGCGCTCTTGCAAGGTCAGCAGGCACAGGCAAGGGCGAGTCGGCAGCAACAGACCCCGGCAAGGCAACCTCAGGAGATGACGCATCAGGTCGCGGGGCAACGTATGGCTTCAACCGAGATGTATGTACGAACCAGCGCCGCGAACCAACCCGAACACGCGCCGACTGTGGGTTGGGAACCTCAATGAGGCGGACCGGTCCTTGCCATGGTTTATGTAATTTAGGAGAGGTACCTGGCCGCACCTGTGGGCAATGAAGCCAGGCCAGGTCCCCCGTTTTCCAGGGGCACTCCCCCTTTGAACGTCGAGCACACCGCTCGTTCCGGGCCTGGCCTTTGGCCGTAGCCATGCGGGCTCCTTCCCTCGCCTCAGTGACACGGCGAACGTTATCCCGAATATAATCAGGAAGAGGTTAAGCAGGTTCCCTCGCTCCGGTTCCCAACTGCTCATTAATCGGCGGCACGTTTTCATGGCCGTACATGAGAAAACACGGCGAGTATCCAGTAGCCGCGTGCGGCGTCATGCGATACGCCGAAAGCACCCCAGGGATATGCAAATCCCAATCTGATTGTTTTTCACTGACCGTATGGCACAGCATGGCGGACAGGGTCCGATTTAACCGTTCCACCATACCATCCGTTTGTGGGTGGTAGGGGGATGTCCGTATCTTTTTAATTCCAAGAGCCGCACACACCTCTCCCAACAATTTAGACGAAAAATTCCGGCCTTGGTCTGTAAGGAGCCTCTCCGGCGCCCCCTTGTCCATAACATACCCAAATAGAAAGGCGTCAGTGATAGACGCCGCTGACTGGTCAGGCAAAGGCCAGGCCATCGGCCAGCGGGAGAGGTACTCCACCCCCACCAGCAAATACTTATTTCCCCTAGCGGATGGCGGAAAGGGTCCCAAAATATCTAACGCCACCAGTTCATTAACTCGAGATACCTGAATAGATTGTATCGGCGGCACATATGGATGTTTAGGTGGCTTGCGGCGGGCACAATCGGGACACGCGCGAACGTGACCGACGACATCTGTCGTCATGCCGTGCCAATAGTAATCTCGCTGCAGCGTCAATAGGGTCTTCTGCACCCCCAGATGTAAAAGTGTGTCACAATGCAGAGACCTAATCAATTCGTACCGCAATGATGCCGGTACAACAAGACGCCAGCGTTCCTGTATCCCTTCCCTCCACATCAGCAACCCATCTTGGAGAGCGGTTTCCGGTACACCACCCGCACCGAGTCCCCTACTTGCCTTCTCCGGTTGCTTTCGTAACGTTACCAAGGAATCGTCCAACATTTGCTCCCGAATCCACACAGACCTCGGGAGACGCAAAATCCCATCAGCCGGTCCCCCATCAACCGGTCTCGGCTTAAGCGGAGTTTCAGGCACATCAACCGCCAGCACGACAGGCTGAGGGGGGAGCTGAATCGGTCCACACCTATGCGTCCCCGACGCACACGCGCAAGGGGATTGTTGCGGCAACCTGGAAAGTGCGTCCGCATTAGCGTGACGCACACCCTTCCGATGGTGAATTTGCAAGGAAAATTCTTGCAGCGTGTCCAGCCACCTCGCCAATTGTCCGGATGGCTGGTCCATCTTAAGAGCATACTGCAACGCCGCATGGTCCGTGCGGACAATAAACGACCGACCGTACAGATACGGTCGAAATTGGCGGAGAAAAAAAACAATGGCCAAAAGTTCCCTGCGAGTGACGCAGTAGCGGGTTTCCGCGGGAGACAAAACCCGACTACCATACGCCACCACGCGTTCAACTCCACCTTTTGACTGAGACAACACCGCCCCAATACCAGTGTCACTCGCATCAGTATCCAGAATGAAGGGATGTTCAAAATCCGGATAATCCAACGTCGGTGCAGTAGCCAATAGATCGCGCAGGCTCTGAAACGCCCCCTCCTCCGGCGGTCCCCAAGCAAATTTGTGTCCCTTCCCTGTAAGGAGATGCAAAGGCCTCACGATCGTAGCAAAATTCGGAACAAACCTCCGATAATAAGAGGCGAACCCCAAAAACCGACGCACATCACCCACCGTGGCCGGGGTTGGCCAATCACGGACACACGCTGTCTTCTCCGGATCCGTAGCCACCCCGTCCGCACTAACAATATGCCCCAAGTATCGAACGGAGTGTTGCAGTAGGTGACATTTCTTTGGCTTGAATTTCAAATTAGCAGAACGCATTCTGGTGAATACAGCCTCCAACCGCAGTAAATGCTCATCAAATGTGCGGCTGAAGACGATAATATCGTCTAAATATATCAGACATGTCTCCCACTGCAACCCCGTTAATACCAACTCCATCAACCTCTGAAAAGTGGCAGGGGCCGCATTCAACCCCATCGGAAGACAGTTAAATTGGAATAGCCCCTGCGGCGTACGGAAAGCAGTCTTTTCTCGCGAGGGCTCGTCAAGGGGGAGCTGCCAGAAGCCCGAAGAGAGATCTAGCGTTGAAAAGAACTTGGCCCCCGACAAGGCGTCGAGAGAATCGTCCATACGCGGCAGGGGATACGCATCTGCTACCGACACTTTATTCAACTTACGAAAATCAACACAAAATCGCAATTTGCCATCCTTCTTTTTAACCAACACAACAGGCGCGCCCTACGGGCTGTTAGACGGAGATATTATGTCCGCTTTCAACATGTCATCCACTGCCCCTCGAACATGCTCTCGCTCAGCCGGACTCATCTGACGCGAGTTCAAGCGAATAGGGGCAGCGTCCCCTGTGTCGATATGATGATAAAGCAGCGAGGTGCGTCCCAAGTCCAAATCGTCGGAGCTAAACACATCCGAATAACTCAATAATAATTTATGAATCGCACAACGCTGTTCGCCGGAAAGGGCTGAATTCTCCCCACACAATTCAGCGATCCAACGATCATCCACCGCTCCATCGTGTGAAACACCAGCCACCAGCCCCCCGTTGGGCAGATCACTCTGAGCCGTAAACGCCGTAGTGGCATGTGCCACAACGGTACCAGCCGGCACACACACGCTTTCAGTACTCGCATTAAGCACCTGCAAAAATGGCCGCTGATCTGGCCGAACAATAGTTTGCGCCCCCACCAGCGCCAATCCGCCCGTAATAGCGGCGGACGGCGACAGCAAAACCCCAAAAGCTCCCTGCCGACCAGGCACCGGCTTCCGATATCGTAAGGGAATGAGCATCTGCGAGCCAGGTGGAATATCAACAGAAACTTCAGATAACGCCTGCACCTGGGCGACAGGAGCAGGTCGCCCCCAGGCGGACGGTAAAAATGCCATTTTACGGCCCCCCGGTAATTCAATGCAGTTTTCATTGATTCGAATTAGAATGGGCATTTTGGCCAAAAAATCAGTACCCAACAGGCAAGGAACCGCAAGGGACCTCGAAATTAACACGATTCCCGAGGCCGACACTCCCCCGATAGATATGTTAGTGTCCACCTGGCCCACGATGCCCATGCTACCCCCGTTCGCAGCGACGCAGGAAGCGTAAGCTGGCCTCACGGCCCCCGGTGGGATGTCCAAAAGGTGGAATATCACATCCGAAATGATGGTCGCGGACGCACCGGAATCCACCAAAATACGCACGTCCACCCCTTGGATCGACCCGGGTACAGTGGACGAACCGGTAGCGGCCGCGACAACCCGCCGAGCCAGCTTGCGCCACTGCGTTACCGAGCGACAAGGCGCAGATAATGGCCTCCCGTATTTAACAACATCCGCGTCGCACAACAACGGCAATGAGTGAGGTGTCAGGCCTTGCCGGGTGTCTGGTGCGCACCGACTTGCCTGTGCTGTAGGATCTTTCTTGGGAGCGTCCGCTGTCGAGGCCTCCTGCTGGGGCGGACCCGGAACGCGGGCCCAGCAGTCCCTGGCATAATGGCTCCGACGCCCGCAGCGGAAGCACTCAACCTCGTTGCGGCGCGCAGCGGGCACCCCGTCCCGACGCGGCCGTACCGGCGGCGCAGCCCGCGGCCCCGGCCCACCCCGGGCCGGCCACGGAGCAGAGGCAGCTGACAGCTCCTGCTGGCTGCTCCCATCCGGCACGTACACGGCCTTTCTAGGGTCCCACCCTAAGGCACCCCCCTCGACGACAGGACCACCTGTCCACGCCGTAACTTGTTTCCAGCGGCGAAGGTTAAACTGGGCGTCCAGACACTTGGCCGCGGCCCGGGACGTGAGCTTTTCGTGACCGCACACCGGCATAGGAATGCCGAGATCTCGGGACAACTCCAACATTTTCCCCAGGATGAGAGGTTCCAGCAGGTCAGGCTCCGTCTCCGGGTAAGCGGCCATAGCAAGTTCCAACACGGCGCCCCTATACGCTACCGGTGACTCCTCGGGTGCGCGTTGTCGTTGCACGAACCGGCGATGGGCGTCATCCGGCGGCTCGTACGCGTCCGCCATTTCGTCGAACACCTCTCGCAGAGTCTTCTTCTTCGCAGCTTTTATAGAGCGAAAAAAACGAATGGACTCATCATCAAGAAGAGTCGGAAGCACCGCCAGTGCCTCGGCGTCCGTCCACCTTGCTGTGCGTACCGCTGCCAAAAATCTACAGGCGAACGCACTCCAATCGATACCGATGGAGAATTCCTTGACAGTTGTTAGGTGACGACTGCGACTCCTTGGCTTGCTTCCTTCAGCCGCTGACTCCTCCGGTGGCAAATTCAACATGGCGTCGCAACGCGGTGTCGACAAGATGGCGGCTGACCGTCGCGGCGGTCCCAAAATGGCGGCTTCCCGCTTTTCGTCGTGCGCCACGCCCAAGATGGCGTCTTCGTGCCGCGTGGCCGATGGCGGCGCCATCGAAGACGACCCGGGCTCCTGCTGACCACCAACGTCTCCTCCCGACGCCGCCCTCGGCGTGACAAGGTCACACAACTGCGTAATAACGTTCTTAAGAGTTACGAGTTGCTCCGCCATCTGGGTCCATCTTGAATCCACGTCCTTTACAGCAGACGGGTCCGTCGACACGGCGACCTCTTGGACTCCCGGACCCGCACTCGTCCCATCACGGATCTCTTCCTCCGCCAGAGTCAGGCCGACTTTAGGAGGAAAATCGTCGTCGTCGGAAGATGAAGCCGACGCCGGAGACGGAATATTCTTTTTTCTCAGTTGTTTCGCCATGCCGTTTCACTTCTGACTCCAGTGTAATAAAAGACTCAGACGCTTCTCTCTGACTCCGTGTCCTTTATTTGGGTTCTTGTCTTTTCCCTCACGGCACTCTCTTAGAGACACTCTACTTGTAGCCCCCGGATGCTATCGCTATTGTAGCCTCCTTCCTCTCCTTGCAGACTCGCTGCTAACTCCGTGTGCAGACCCCCGCTGCCAACTCCATATGCAGACTCCCGCTGCCAACTCCGTATGCAGACTCCCGCTGCCAACTCCGTATGCAGACCCGCTGCCAACTGCAGCCTCCTCGCTACTTCGGGTCGGTCACCGCTGGCCGACGGTGCCGATCCTCGCTCCCCGTGTCCGTGGCGATCTCACCACTCTCCGCTCTCGCCCTACGTGGCCTCACTCGTTCCTGGTCTCCCGTCACTCCCCCTCCTCTTCCGGTTTCTCTCCCTCTATAGACCTGACCCCTCTCCCCCACGTGACCTAACTCCTCCCCTCATGACGTCACTTCCGGAAGGTCGTTTACGCCCGCATTACACACTTAACCCTTCCCTCAGCCACTCATTCACCTACTGAACCACTCACCCAGCCACTTATACACACACACTCATCCACTCATGAACTCGCCCCTTAAACATCCACCCATCCACCCACCCAATAACCCAGTCATCCACCCACTTATACACCCACCCACCCACTCATCCACCCATCCACCGACTCATCCACCCACCCACTCATTCACTCGCCCACTCACACATTCACTCACCCACCTCATCCACCCACTTATCCACCCACCCACCTACACATTCCCTCGCCCACTCACTCAATTTGGACAAACCAGAGGAGACGGGCTATGCATATGTGAAGGGGAGTGGGAAGATCTGCAACCAGGAGCATGACACAAATAATCTCAATAGTGTTCACCTCTTTCACAGGCTTCTCTCACTACAAGAATGCACGCTGTAAAATATTGTCGAATTGCAAAGAAGAGTGCCTTTTTCATAATCTACAAGTATAATTGATGGTTATGCATGAAGTTATATACATTTATATGTTAACTGTTGAAGATTGCCATTAAAGTGGCTGCCTTGCGTGGCTTTGCCTTCATGCAATGCTTCCCAATATCTTCCCAATTATTAAATTATTATTCCGTTTACTGCACACAGTACACTTGCACACAATTTACAAATCTTACACATCACACACTCAACATCCATGTACAATGCACACAGTAAGGAGACCCATGAATATCGCAGGTTTATTGTTCGCGTTTTTGACCTATTGTGGGCAACTTCTGTGTTTACCAATTTAGCTATTATGGGGGTTCGTTTTGGCCTTTTGCAGGTGTAGTGGGTACCACAGAGACTGGAGACGTTGTCTTTAGAGGCAACACGGTTTATTTGTAACTATGAACAAGACTCCCCTTAACTCACGCTATCTAGGGAGGTACAGCCTCCGGGCGAGCGTGCCCTCACACTCAGTCAACCTGGCTCTTGGCCCCCCCCCCCCCCCCCCCGGTATCTGTGCCCGAGGGGAGGCTAACTGACCCGACCCAGCCAAGGTACGGGTCCTGACCACTGGTCCTGACCACTGGTCCAAGTTCGGCCCGGCCCTTACAAGGACGTCGGGTCCCGGGGTCCCAGGGTCCTAGCTAGGCTGGTCTTCTCTCTTTGTCTACGGAACACTGCCCTGAGCTGTGCTTGAGGTGCCCCTTTCATACACAAATAATTGTGACCTCTCTGGGTAACGGGAAATGGTCCCAAAATGTCCAATGCCACCAATTCATTCACACGAGACACCGTTATGGATTGCAGCGGCACCATGTGCGGTTGTGCGGGTGACTTCCGACACGCACGCTCTGGATAAGCCTTAATGAACAAATACACATTGTTGTCCATCCCTGGCCAACAGAAATCCATATTTAAGGTCGAGAGTTTTCTTGACACCCAAATGTATCAATGTTTTGTGCACCGTGTGTGTAAGTCTGCATCGTAGGCTCGTGGGCACCACTAGACAAACCATTGAAGCTCTACATCCCATCGTAGGAGCCCCTCACCGACCTGCAGAAAAGGGTGCCCCGCAGTACTCATTTGTCAGGAGGCCCGGTGCCTCAAATTCAGCAGGGAGGCATCCTCAACCTGGAGCCGTCCACACTCGCTGTGGTTCAGGCCAAATATGCAGTCGACCGGTGCTTGCTCATCGCTGGCCGGGACAGAGTCAACTACGGCGACCATCTCGGGCGACCATCTCGGGCGACTTCTGCAGCAGCGCTCTGCACCGAGCTGAGCCCATCACGCACCTGCATGAGCCGGACGGCGGCAGCCGGGACAGCGCATCCGCATTCCCATTGGCGCGCCCCTTTCCTATACAGTACAGTAAAGGAGAATCCCTGGAGGATTTCAATCCAATGGGCCATTTGGCCGGAGGGTTGGTCCACACGCCGGGAGTATTGGAGTACTGCGTGGTCGGTACGGACAAGGAAGTCCCTGCAGTACAAGTAAGGGCAGTACAACTGTATGAAATGGACCATGTCAAGCAGATCCCTGCGTGACGCAATACCACTGCTCAGTGGGAGACAAAACGCAGCTGCCATACGCCATGACTCTCTACTCCGTCGACGACCTGGGACAAGACAACGCCTATGTCCATATCACTGGCACCAGTGTCCAGGATAAATGGTTTGGCGAAATCTGGATAAATGAGCGATGGCGCACTGGCCAGAGCGTCACGAAGCGCTGAAAAAGAATAATTTTCCACCTTGTCCCCCTTGGCTGTTAGAGATTGTAGTGGTTTGGCAATTGTCACAAAATCCTTTACAAACCTGCGATAGTATGAGGCGAACGCTATAAAGCTGTAGACCTCCGCCACCGATTTGGGGGTCGGCCACGTGCGCACACAGGCCGTCTTATCCGGGTCGGTAGTGACCCCTGACGCGCTGACAACATGGGCCAAATACTTGATGGAAGTTTGCAACAAATGGCATTTTCGCGGCTTAAAGTTCAAGTTTGCATCATGCACTTGAGAAAAAAAAGCGCAGCCACTGCAAGTGCTCGTCGAAAGTGCGACCGAAGACAATGTCATCTAGATAAATAAGCATGATTTCCATTGCAAACCAGATGGAACCAATTCCATGAGGTGCTGAAAGGTGGTCGGCGAGGAGTGAAGTCCCATCAGGAGACAATTGAAATGGAACAATCCCTGTGGTGTTCGGAACGCCGTTTTAGGTTTAGATTCTGCGTCCAAGGGCAGTTGCCAAAATCCTGACAGCAAATCGAGGGTTGAGAAGAATTGTACACCAGACACGGCATCCAAGGAATCGTCCATGCAAGGAAGCGGGTATGCGTCTGCTACGGAAATTTTGTTGAGTTTTCGGAAGTCAATACAAAATCGCAAGGAGCCGTCACGTTTTTTTAACCAATACAATGGGCACCCCCCCAAGGGCTGGTGGAGGGAGAGACAATGTCTGCAGCCAACATCTCTTCCACAGTCTGACGAATACATTCCGTTTCATGGGGGCTCATTCTGTGTGAATTGTATTGAATGGGAGGCGAGTTCCCCGTATCAATATGGTGCTGCAACAGGGTGGTCCGGCCTATGTAGTATTTACCATTGCTAAACACGTCCTGGAATTCGTGCAAAAGTCGCTGAAGCCGTGCTCGCTGCTGTCGATAAATCCTTGTTTTCCTGACACAACCTCTGCATCCACGTGGGTTCGACCTCGCTAGCAGGCGAGACATTCCCCACAATCCCGGACATGCACGTCATTTGCTCCGTGCATGAGGCCGCCATCACGTGCCAACACAGTGCCTGCTTGGATAACTACCGGAGTATTGCCCGCATTAACCACTTGGAGGAAGGGATCGCAGTTTGCCGGCACGACAGTCAGTGCCCCCACCAAGGAGGGTGTTCGCGATACTGCGTTAGAGGGAGTCAAGAGGATCCCCTCCTCCAGATTTAGCAGGGCAAAACTGCAATGGCACAAGCATCTGCGTGGCTGGCGGAACGCGCACTGTCTGGCTAACCGTAGCCTGCACAGGCGCTGCCCCGATGACATCTCAATACACCCCTGGTCCACCATTATTTTGAGGGGCATCCTGCATAATAAATCCATGCTCAACAAGCAGGGTACTGGCAGTTTTAGAAATCAACACAGGCCCGTCCATTACCACTTCTCGTATTTGCACTGTTGCGATCATGCGACCGACTATCCCAAACTACCCCCATTCGCCGCTACACATGGCCCGTCAACCTGCTCCAGAGGCCGAGGTGATGCTGGCAACGAACGAAAAGTAGGCAACGAAATGAGCGTGGCCGAGGTACCTGTATCGATCAACACCTGGACCTGCACCCCCTGGAAAAGGCCCATTACATCTGACGATCCTGCCGCGGCACCGACCACTTGATAGGCCAACAGACACCACTGCTCAATGTGTTGCAGACCCGCAGCCAACGAACCAACATGGTAAGCTTCTGACGCAATGGGATGAACAGTAACCGGGTGAGCGAAAGTTTTTCACTATAAATCCTTCATATGCGTGGCGGCTAGAGTCCTCTCGTCCTCTGGCTTGAGATGGCTGCCACTTATGGGTCAGATGATTGCATTGCACCATTAAGCAATTGGTAATTAAATATAATATTTTTGTCCTAAAAAGTGTAAAATTTTGTAAAAAAATTTTCACCAACATTAATTGTCACGCACAACGAGTCTGTGTGGAAAATGTCAGCTCGATTGGATCACGGGAAGTGGGTTAAAAAACGACCGAAAGATTTGCACGGTCCTAAGCAAGCAAGCGAACTTAATAAAAAGGATTTAGAAATATATTCGCCTGTGGAGGACGCTGGGATCGATCCCGCGACCTTTGGCATGGGAAGCAAGGGCGCTACCAACTGCGCTACTCCGCCACGGCCTGTGGAGGTGTCACGCTCTGGGCTCCTACACTGTGACGTTCAGCCAAAGCCATGAATGAGTTCTATTTGAATAAATGTAAAATAAATTTTTTTTGCCTAAAAAGTGTAAAATTTTTGAAAAAAATTTTCACGAACATTGTCTCGCACAACGAGTCTGTGTGCAAAATGTCAGCTCGATTGGATCACGGGAAGTGGGTTAAAAAACGACCGAAAGATTTGCACGGTCGTAAGCAAGCAAGCACGCAAGCAAGCAAGTGAACTTAATATAAAGGATTTAAAAAGGATAAGAGTGAAGGAGACCGTGTTTGTGTATAAGTAGCTCTGTGGTGTAATGCGGCTTTTAAACTAATGTGGAATTTTTTAATTGTTTAAATGGCTCTTCTTCTTTGAAAGGTTGTCGATCCCTAATCTGTCATCATTATTAGACCCCATGCATAACAGGTGCTATCGGCTAGTCACCCCTGCTTACTGTGCAGCAGAGGGCAGTGTAGAAAAACCCATCATTATACTGCACTTCTATGAAACCCACGTCTATGCTGTTCCCTGACCTTCACACCACAGGCGAAGTATGGCCAAGTAACTCGTCAGGTGGTCTAGGATCTCATCTAGTAGTGGAGTGATACATATATATTTTCGTCAACTTACAAAAAAAATGGCTTTCTTCTTCTTTGAAAGATTGCCGACCCCCCCTAGATGCAAATTGTTCCCTTTGGTCAGCACTCACCCCTGAGCAGAAATACGGAGACTAAACTTGGATAATAGCAAAATCTTAATTTCATATACACTATACTACTGTAAAGAAGCTCTTTCTCAGGCCCCATTTTCTAGACGATTTATTTTACAGTAACGTATTTACAAGGCAAAAGTATGACTAACATGTTCACAAGGCTATGACTATCTGCAGCCCCAGTGGTTCCCACTAGATTCATCTCGAACAGTCTTTCTTGATGGGTTCCACCATGTCCATCTCGAACAGTTGGCCCGATGTTTTCCACAATGCCGATGTCCAACAGTCGGCCCCGATGTCATCCACCTGCAGTCATCCTTCAGTCCCCGAGCCAGTGCCCCGATCGCGGGCCTCGCTCCCCCTTATATAACCACTCGGCTACGCCCTGGTAACTTCCAGCACTTTCCCCTGGTAGATTCTTCCAGCAGACGCTACCATCTTCTACTTCCCTTCTTGAACCTTCCCTCGATCAGTACCCTGCACCTGTTTCCACCCATCTCCACTGACCCCACTATAACCCTTGCCATGTACAGTACCCTACAAAGGAGCTCCGCTCTAATTTCTCTCCCATGCAATTCCCTCAATATTATAAGTCACCAATGCGGACTTTTAAACGTGCTTTGACGGCGACAGAAAGATGGACAAATAACTAGATCCGGAATAGATAATCTTAACAACAGTTAGAATTGATTAACTGTGCCTTTGTTAATTATGCACTATTGACGCACTATGCACAAGGACACAAACCAACTGTGGCAGATAATTTCTCAACCGTTAAAATGTGACATCTACACAGCGTCACCGCACGTCAAAGACAACACAGAGGACAAACAACTCTCAAAACTCTCGGCAACATTAACAGCATACATCAGCACAGCATCCCCTCGCGTCTACGATTACAAAACACTGAGTATAACCAACTCTCAAAACAGCACACATCTGCACAGCTCCCCTGCACGTCCACAAAAACAACACCGTGGCAAAAAACCATACAGAATAACGCGACGACTGGTCATACCAACCCTCATGCACGATCCACTCTTGGGTAACGAAACAATGCCACTGCTATTCAGTGGCCTAAAATAAAATGTTTCGCTCCGGATGATCGCTGCAAAGTATAACCTGTGTTTTGATTTAGTGTGCTGATCTTAAAGGTGCATTGAAAAAATGTGATACTCCGACTGATGCTCCTGCTGTTGTGGAGTGACTCATGTTGTTTGTCGTTTATTGTGAAAATTCTTTTCGAAATCACCAAAATAAAGCCATAAAAGCAATGAAAGTGATCTGTTTCATTGCTTTTATGGCTTTATTTTGGTGATTTCGAAAAGTTTTTTGGTTTGGCCATGTTTGTTGTAGTATGGAAGTTAGACTGATGGCCTTAATCTAAGTTGTCTTGTGGTTGCTGTTGTTGTTTGACTTGCATCCCACTGGGATTTTTGCACACAGCGTTTGTGTACGGTGCTTTTTCTGCAATATTTTGCTGTATTTTCTTGGATTTTTTGTTTGCACATAGTCACATAGTCACTTTAAGATGTTTTCTTGATCATGTTTTGTTTTTAGTTTTTTGCGGTTGCACCCGATTCAAGAGGCGAATGGCTCAGGGCTATACCTAATAAATGAACTTGAAATTGAAGGGAACATAACGGCAGTCTCAGAACTTGGCTGGCATCTTCAACAGCACTCTGAGAAATTCAACACAGTTGCAGTTTAGGGACTTGGTTGGAGTTATCAACAGCGCGTTGAACAACTTGACGCAGTTGAAGTCTGGGGCATTTATTGTGGAGCTTCCAAACAGCGCTCTAAGCAACTTCGCTCAACAGCCGACCAAAGCACCAACTCGGCTCTCCCTGTAGCACTGCACAGTGACTCCACTCAGCAGAAGCACCGCGCACCAAGCAGTCCACACAACTGCAAAGGCGCCCACAATGACGCATACATCAGCGTCCCCTAGTAACTGCCCCCACCTTGGGAGTCCCCCCCAGGTCCCGACAAACACCACCTCCTGTACACGCATAGCATTCACCTGAATACTAACATTGTATCCCACCCTCACAGCATCTCTCTCTACCCTCCCTCGTCGGCAATCGGCTGCCTGTTGCTATGTCGCCTACCTCTATCTCTCGCCCCTCATGCCCTGTGAATCAATTTGGCAGGTACAGCGTCTTCCAATCAGAACCTCGTAAATTCGTTATATTTAACCTGATTTTCTTGGCAACACTAGCCTTCAATCACATATAGCCCCACCGACTCTCACCCCACGCCAACTGGCCTGCCCGGACTGGCCAATTCATGTCCTGCCCCCAATCAAAGCCAGACTTAGTGGCGTCGTTGCTTCTGGCATCGTTGAGGGTCTTAGCAAATTATTCCCCCCATAACTGCTCACCCCCCCATTACCTCATGTAACCTCAGTCACCTCGGCTCACCCGGGCTAGAAAGCGCTTGTACACACCCACACCGTTACAATTACACTACTGTACACTACACCACTATATACTACACTACTAGGCAATAACAGCACCACTTTATTAACACGCCAAAAAAGCACAACTAAATGATGACGCAGTGGCGAGATGTTAACTACCTCTCTCCTGGTGTGCAGGTGGTGGTGGGTTTGATCTCGACCCTGACGCCTACTTTATATTTGGAGTTTGCATGTATCTCTCTCCTTGTGGTAGTATGGATTTTTCCCTGGGTTCTCCGGGTTTTCCCTCCACATTTAGAGACATGCATTAGATTTTTCTGCCATAAAGGTCCACATGTCACCTTATCATGCGAGTGGTGGTGCTAGCAGTCACAATTGAAAATATCTGCCATTCTGATCGCGTTGTGTGCTGCCCAACCTAATTGCTTCACTGCGCTGTATGTACTGTATACACAGTACTGTACTAATGTATAATATACCCTAAAAGGCCCCACTGCTTCTCGACAATCAACTTGGGATGCTTTACAACTGACTGGTGAGTACCTCGGTAAAAGAGTAGAGTATTTCTTATATCATAGTTAAAAGGTATGGTTAGTTTATTTCTTTAAAAATGTCATGTACTTGGAAAATTTGATGAACCATAAGTATAACTCTCAAATAACCGGCATATTGATTAACCAGCACTATCAATTTCCCATGGATGTGAGATCAGTTTTTGCTCTATATGTAATTGTTTTAATAATATGTGTTCATCAAATTATAACTCTAAGTACTCAAAAGACATAGCGACAATATTGATTTACTGTAATCACATTACATAGTGTTCACTGCAAATATATTAACCAGCACTATCCATTTCCCATGGATGTGAGATCAGTTTTTGCTGGATATGTAATTTTTTTAATAATGTGTTCATCAAATTATAACTCTAAGTACTCAAAAGACATAGCGACAATATTGATTTACTGTAATCACATTACATAGTGTTCACTGCAAATATATTTTTGACTCGATGATGCCTACACCTGCATGCATTCTCAGAATGAGAGAAGCCAAATGGTAGCACGTTTGATCTTTGTTGAAGAGGTTCACAGTTCAAATCTGTCAGGCAGCCCTTATGATTACTGCAGAAATATTAACCAAAAATGTGTCATCTGCTTTACAGTGGATGTTTAAAAAACTTTGGCTCACCAAAATTTTGCTAAATTAGAAAAATTTGCCACAAATAACCCAAATGGGATTACATATGAATCATCTCCCCACCCTACTGGCAGTCTCTAGCCCATATGCATTGTTGGATATGTAAAATGCGAAAGTAAAATATGCATATATTTATGTCAGCACCATATACATGTCAAGATTATTATGATAAAAGGTGAATGCTATAGAGGTTTGTTTGTCTCGTGCTCCTGTATATAGGCCTTCCCAACCTGCAGGTCGACACATTCTGGCTGCTCCTATTCTGCATTGTCCAAAGAGTCCACATCAACATCCACAACCTGCTGGGGTTCATCTCACTCTCCCTTAAGAGTCCAACCTCTCCAGCTTCATGCTGTCTCCATCGACAACTTGGAAGTTGAACCTTGGAGTAAAATCTTCAACTCCACACATTTGTAATGAGAAAAACCAGTGAATAATGTGGATGAAATGGAGCTTCTTTGTCTCAAGCTCAAGGTGACACATCTATCTGGTCTCCATTTGATTCTGTATTGCCTGAAAATTCCACCCACACCTCCACATCCACAAACTGCTGATGGTGGCCTCGCTCTGCCTCAGAGTCAGAATTCTCCTCCTGTTTCACACTGCTTCCATTGATGTGATGGTCGGATTTTGGAGTTGAATTTACATGTTCACATTTCACATTCACTTCTTCACGCTTCACCATCAGATCACATTTCACCTTCACTTCTTCACTCTTCACATTCACTTCTTGATATTTTATTCTTGCTTCTTGACATTTCACCTTCACTCCTGGCCACGTTTCATATCTGGAATGTTTTTCTGATTCTTGTTTTATGAGGTATGAGCTCATTCCAGAACGTTGACTTTCACATGTCAAGTTCTGATTAATTTCCTTGTGAATCTTTTGATGCCTGTTTCGAATCCCTAACTGTCGAAACGCCTTCCCACACACAGTGCACTGGAAGGGTTTCTTTCCGGTGTGTATATTCCGGTGGTTGTGAAGAACTGATGACCGTGCAAACGCCTTTCCACACAGAGTGCACTTGAAGGGTTTCTCTCCTGTGTGTGTTCTCTGGTGTCTGTGAAGATCTGATGACAGTGCAAACGCCTTCCCACACACCGCGCACTTGAAGGGTTTCTCTCCTGTGTGTGTTCTCTGGTGTCTGTGAATATCTGATGACAGTGCAAACGCCTTCCCACACACAGCGCACTTGAAGGGTTTCTCTCCTGTGTGTGTTCTCTGGTGGATCTTAAGATCTGATGACCGTGCAAATGCCTTCTCACACACACTGCACTTGAAGGGTTTCTCTCCCGTGTGTATTCTCAGGTGCCTTTGAAGATCTGATGACCGTGCAAACGCCTTTGCACACAGAGTGCACTTGAAGGGTTTCTCACCTGTGTGTGTTCTCTGGTGTCTGTGAAGATCTGATGACAGTGCAAACGCCTTCCCACACACAGTGCACTTGAATGGTTTCTCCCCTGTGTGTGTTCTCTGGTGCTGCCTCAAGCTTCCAGTGTGATCCGTGCTGTATGGGCACTGGTCGCACTGGTGTATTTTAGTACCAAGTTGGGCTGAGTGTCTTGGCTCCATTTGAATGATTCTGCAGAGCAAAGTGGCAGAGGAACTGGGAGCTGCAGACAGAACACAGGAATATCCACACGATGTAAGTGAGCATAGATGCACACAGGTATACACATATATACAGTTACACATTACATTCACCTATGACATACACATCTATACTGAAGCATTCACGAGAAATAAAAAAAAATCATCCCCAATGCACCATACAAGCTCATTTAAGGCTCGATATGCTATTGACAATCACCTATTGACCTGGCACAGCAGACAATGTGAGTGCAAGTGGTCAGCATTATACCTGGAGGTCCCTTGTATCTTCAATAGCAATGCTAATCCATAACTCAATGTACACAATTTCGGTTGCGTCTGGCTACTGAAGAAATGTTGACTTTAGCAACTTTCTGCTAAAAATAAAGGGTGTTAAAAATAAAACAATTTGCAATGGGCAAATAATGTAGCAAAATGGACAAAGTAATGTTCAATTGCAAATTGGAGGTCCAAAGCCAGGATCAGTTTTGCTGGAATTCTCGAATTGACACTTGTTGCTTTAGCTGTGTATTTGCTGTGTTCATATCCTGTTTCCATGCTTGTAAAACATTGCATGGAAGAAAAAAAAATATCGCTTTCATTAAACCTTGGTGTTTAATAGAGTCATCATACTTTACAGCAAATACAAACTTTAGACTCTAACACACTGGCACGATGAACAAGGTGGTGGTGTGGTCAGAACCATGCTTGGCTGCCTGTATCTGCTCAGTACTGACGCTCATTTCACCAAGCAATTAAATGACGATCAATCAACCCAGTGGAGGATCACAATAAGTTATATCACTTGTCAATAATGTCTACTGTTAGCAATAATCCAACTCTGATTGTTGGATACATAATGCAGTGGACTAACAACTTCGCCTCGTTCCCCATGTAGATATGCCCTTACGTAAATGTTTCACATGGATAAATAACGTATAAACAAAACAGCCACCATTCAACACTAATTGGAAGCAACATCATCACAGTGCTCATGTCAGGATAGGTGCAATTGAAGGCCATGTAAGTGTGGAAAACTTTCCAGCAGGTCATGGGAATTATACAGGTATCAAGGGATGATCGACTAATATGACTGCCAGATGCACCACCTGTGCTCCCCACTGTGGCAACAATGCGTTTTAGCCACTCAGTGCTCTGGCTATTGATGTGGGCATCGCTCCTCCGACCTCGTTGCAGGGCAAATGCCTCCAACTGGCCTGCAGCATTCTTCACGAGCCTCCTCCACAGAGGCCGATCTTGACACCGCTGGATAAAGTCTTTGGCAAATCCACTCAGCTCCAGATCCTACTACTGTATACCGTATCAGTTCATCTCTTTTCCAGCCCTATCATGCCCGTTTAGCCCCCTTTATCCAACCAAGCAGAGGCTGCTTGGGCATGCAGACATGATCCAGAAAACAGACCTTTGCCCGCTGGAGCTCACTGATGGGAATGTGTCCAGATATTTCAAGGATTTGTGAGCTCCTCACACAATCCAGCCTGGTTAAACTCAAGATGGATGGTAGGCAGGCCAGCCTGAATGGATCCTAAATCCTCTCTCTCCCATGATATAAATAGCAACCCTCAGAGTATACACACACAGTGTACATACACGCACTGTACACACCCACTGTAGATACACATAAAGATCCCCCGTATAGCTTTAACAGACTTCATATTCTTTGTTCTTTCGATAAAGTCACGTAGAAAGAAAATAAAAATAACATAAAATATAAATATTATTTTAATTGTATTGTTATTTTAATTGTAATAACATTTACTTTAATACAATAAAAAATTGTAGTTATTTTTATTTTCTATCTACGTGACTTTACCGAAAGAACCAAGAATATGAATTCCTGCAGTCACAAAAGTTTTAAGTCAAAGCCTTAAGACTGTTGGGGAAAGTGCTGTTAGTATCTATGAAGGCCGGTACAGTTCACGTGGGGGTGGGTGGCCAGCACCACACCTGACCGCCTTTGTCTCCCCAGTTGTGTTTACATACCACACCAGGCACTCATTAGAGGCGGAGTCGACCTAGGGGAGGCCCAAGAACCGGTTCAGTTAATCGTCACTGTGGCCATGAGCTCAGGTCGCCGGGTGTGCAGCACAGCGCGCTAACCACTGCGCCACGCACAGTGCAGACACACAGTGTCCATATAATGGATACACGTTGTACAGTGTACACAACGTAATGTACACATACGCATTGTACATGCAGTGTAAAGTACGCAGTGTATACTGTATACAGTAAACACGAAGTGTACAGTGAACACTTGGAACATACACGCGTACAGTGTACACAATGTTCACGTTGTTGTTGAACTCACGCACTCAAGGGATCTCTGTAGAATAGAGGAATTTAGGATTAATATAAATAAATGTAAACGCTAAATCCACTGCTCACCACACCACTTCACACACCCCGATTTCTCTCTCGCTCAGTCTCTGACGTCACTACACGCACGTCATCAGCCCGAGACGGCTGGGGGAGGTGTACCCTGCTAGTGACGTCATGTGATCAAGTAACTCCACCCCTCACGCGTACCAGCGCGTGACGTCATGTATGTTTGGTCCATGCCGAATGCCATCCCAGTAAAATTCTAATTTGGGCAAAGCCACGCCCATTCATCTCATTAACAATTTATTTAAATTTCGATTTAAAGCTTTCGTGACTGCAGGGATTCATCTTCTTGGTTCTTTCGGTAAAGTCACGTAGAAGGGAAGTAATAAAATAATACAAATAAAACATAATAAAACAATTCTCACGACGTTTCGGCCACAACGCAAGCAGCCGTCCTCAGGTGAAAACCAGGTCCGTCGAGGCGACAGAGTCTGAATGAAAGAGCACACGAGCTTGGAGCATATATATAAGCTGGGCGCATTGACAAAGGAATTTGCATATCAAAATGAATTTAGCATATTTATGGGAAATGCAGGAATGTGATTAGTACTGCATATGCATGTGCATTATGCAGGATTAACAGCATCAAAGGGAGCTGCAAGTTACTGCTGCTGCTGCAGTTGCTGCTGCTGCTGCACTTGCTGCTGCTGCTGCACTTGCTGCTGCTGCTGCACTTGCTGCTGCTGCTGCAGTTGCTGCCTTATCCATTTTAATATAACACTATGTATTATTCTACCCACCCTAATGTGTATCACACTGCTATATGTTTACTATACAATTACGACACCATACATTACTCTGCACACTGCACCATGCCAGTGAGTGGAACGCGGTCTGAAAGTCACTGTAAACGTGAACAATCAGTTAAGATCCGAAATGGTTTATTACGTCCTTCCAATGATTGCTAAGCCAGAATCCATCTTCTCGGTTGAAATTGTCTCTGTGTTTGTATATGTGGATCGCCTCATGAACGAATCTCTCATGATAGCCAGATGGCTTGCAGAGAACCTCTGTCTTGGAGAAGTCAATGTCATGTGAGCCCACTGAATTGTAACAGTGATCTGCCACGGCTGAGGTGTTTGTCCTACCGTGTTTCAGGTCTGCCTTATGTTCACGGATGCGGTCCGAGACATGTCGTTTGGTTTCTCCAATGTAACTGCTACCACAGAGGAAACTTAGTTTGTAGACGCCAGGGTACGGTATGTCTGGAACCACATCTTTTACAGACGGGACCAGATCACGGATTTTATGTACCGTGTTGAATCGGACCTGGATCTTGTGTTTAATCAGGATTTTGGAGATCTTTTTTGTGACCCCAGCAATGTAGGGTAAGGTGATGGTCTTGAAAGGCTCCTCAACAGGATCCTTCTTGATGGTTGGAGTGATGGCTTTGCGGATTGTGTAGTCGGAGTAACCATTAGCCTTAAGAGCTTGGCGTACGTGTTTGAGTTCACTGGAAATGTGTTCATGGTCGGAGATGCATTGGGCTCTATGATATAGAGTCTTGATGAGGGAATTCTTCTGGGATGGATGGTGGTGGGAATCCGGTTTTAGATAAGCATCCGTGTGGGTGGCTTTCCTGTAGACAGAGTGGCTCATTGAACCATCAGGTCTCCTTTTGATTAGGACATCCAAAAAGGGTAGCTTGCCATCATTTTCGACTTCCATGGTGAATCTGATGGCTGGGTGTATGGAATTGATGTGGTCGAGAAATTGATCTAGAGCAGGCCGGCCATGTGGCCAGATGACAAAAGTGTCGTCTACGTACCTCTTCCATAAGGTCGGGCGTAGAGTGGCAGTCTGGATGGCGTCCGTCTCAAATTTCTCCATGAAGATGTTGGCTACAACCGGAGATAGGGGGGAGCCCATTGGGGTGCCCTCAATTTGCTTGTAGAAGGTTCCATTCCAGGTGAAGTGTGTATTGGTTAAGCAGTGTCTCACCAGGGGGGGTACCCCAGCATTCAGTCCTTGATGAACCAAGTCTTCAATGATTGCGATGGTGTCAGGCACAGGCACCTTGGTGAACAAGGAAACCACATCAAAACTGACAAGCAGGTCGTCTGGGGACAGGGCAATCCCCTTGACCTGGTATCGACAATCAAGGGGATTGCCCTGTCCCCAGACGACCTGCTTGTCAGTTTTGATGTGGTTTCCTTGTTCACCAAGGTGCCTGTGCCTGACACCATCGCAATCATTGAAGACTTGGTTCATCAAGGACTGAATGCTGGGGTACCCCCCCTGGTGAGACACTGCTTAACCAATACATACTTCACCTGGAATGGAACCTTCTACAAGCAAATTGAGGGCACCCCAATGGGCTCCCCCCTATCTCCGGTTGTAGCCAACATCTTCATGGAGAAATTTGAGACGGACGCCATCCAGACTGCCACTCTACGCCCGACCTTATGGAAGAGGTACGTAGACGACACTTTTGTCATCTGGCCACATGGCCGGCCTGCTCTAGACCAATTTCTCGACCACATCAATTCCATACACCCAGCCATCAGATTCACCATGGAAGTCGAAAATGATGGCAAGCTACCCTTTTTGGATGTCCTAATCAAAAGGAGACCTGATGGTTCAATGAGCCACTCTGTCTACAGGAAAGCCACCCACACGGATGCTTATCTAAAACCGGATTCCCACCACCATCCATCCCAGAAGAATTCCCTCATCAAGACTCTATATCATAGAGCCCAATGCATCTCCGACCATGAACACATTTCCAGTGAACTCAAACACGTACGCCAAGCTCTTAAGGCTAATGGTTACTCCGACTACACAATCCGCAAAGCCATCACTCCAACCATCAAGAAGGATCCTGTTGAGGAGCCTTTCAAGACCATCACCTTACCCTACATTGCTGGGGTCACAAAAAAGATCTCCAAAATCCTGATTAAACACAAGATCCAGGTCCGATTCAACACGGTACATAAAATCCGTGATCTGGTCCCGTCTGTAAAAGATGTGGTTGAAGACATACAGTACCCTGGCGTCTACAAACTAAGTTGCCTCTGTGGTAGCAGTTACATTGGAGAAACCAAACGACATGTCTCGGACCGCATCCGTGAACATAAGGCAGACCTGAAACACGGTAGGACAAACACCTCAGCCGTGGCAGATCACTGTTACAATTCAGTGGGCTCACATGACATTGACTTCTCCAAGACAGAGGTTCTCTGCAAGCCATCTGGCTATCATGAGAGATTCGTTCATGAGGTGATCCACATATACAAACACAGAGACAATTTCAACCGAGAAGATGGATTCTGGCTTAGCAATCATTGGAAGGACGTAATAAACCATTTCGGATCTTAACTGATTGTTCACATTTACAGTGACTTTCAGACCGCGTTCCACTCACTGGCATGGTGCAGTGTGCAGAGTAATGTATGGTGTCGTAATTGTATAGTAAACATATAGCAGTGTGATACACATTAGGGTGGGTAGAATAATACATAGTGTTATATTAAAATGGATAAGGCAGCAACTGCAGCAGCAGCAGCAAGTGCAGCAGCAGCAGCAACTGCAGCAGCAGCAGCAACTGCAGCAGCAGCAACTGCAGCAGCAGCAGAAACTGCAGCAGCAGCAACTGCAGCAGCAGCAGTAACTTGCAGCTCCCTTTGATGCTGTTAATCCTGCATAATGCACATGCATATGCAGTACTAATCACATTCCTGCATTTCCCATAAATATGCTAAATTCATTTTGATATGCAAATTCCTTTGTCAATGCGCCCAGCTTATATATATGCTCCAAGCTCGTGTGCTCTTTCATTCAGACTCTGTCGCCTCGACGGACCTGGTTTTCACCTGAGGACGGCTGCTTGCGTTGTGGCCGAAACGTCGTGAGAATTGTTTTATTATGTTTTATTTTTATTATTTTATTACTTCCCTTCTACGTGACTTTACTGAAAGAACCAAGAAGAATTTATTTAAATTCGATTCATATTCTTTGGTTCTTTCGGTAAAGTCACGTAGATAGAAAATAATAATAAAAAATAAGCTAAAAATAATTTTATTATTTTCTATCTACGTGACTTTACTGAAAGAACCAAAGAATATTAATTCCTGCAGTCACGAAAGTTTTCAATAAAAATTTTACCGCCTCTACGGGGAGGATTTCCACATAACCATAATATCTTTTAACAAACTCCGAGACAAGAAAGCTCATCTGATCGAGTCACTCACATTTCTGAAGAGATGCCACGACTCTAAGGTAATACCGATCTCATTTACACTTGACTTCTGCTTCCGTCACATCTTCCAATGCCAAACGAATTTTCTTCAGACCTAGCTTAGCCCTGATCTCAGAGAGAATTACACTGATCCGTACTGAACTAGACCATGTAGACAAGACACTATTGAAATCACACTTAACATTGATGGAACAAATGTCTACAACAGATTGGGAACATGTAAATAACATGACCGCTTCATCAGCCGCTACAATGTCAACTAAATGTAAAGATGACTTGATTTCCAAGTTCAACCTCCTTTCCAAGAAAAAAACAGATCCACACATGAAAAAGTTAGACGTTGACAAAGTTACATTTTGACTTAAAACTTTCGTGACTGCAGGAATTCATATTCTTGATTCTTACAATAAAGTCACGTAGATAGAAAATAAAAATAATAAAATAAAAGCACGACGTTTTGATTGCAACACAAGCGGACTTCATCATTTTTCTCTCCGCCTGATGAAGACTGCTTGTGTTGCGATCGAAACGTCGTGGGTTTTTTGCTTTCATTTGTATTTTATTTGAAATTTTATTTGTATTTTATTATTTTTTATTATCTCCGTGACTTTACCGAAATAACCAAGAATATGTTGACAAAGTTATTATATTCTTTGGGTCTTTTAGGAAAAGTCACGTAGATAGGTTCAAAGAAAATACAATGTACAAAAAACTACGACGTTCCAAACACAACACAAACGTTCGTCATCAGGAAGAGGGGGTTAGCTTCTAAAGGTAAACTGTTTATAAAGGTGTAGTAATGGGCTCAAAAATAGGCGCTCACAACTTCTTGGGAGGCAACACTATTTATTAACA